CCCCAAAACCCCAAAACCCCAAAACCCCAATTTGTTGCACAATTATTGAATTTCGCGGTTAATTCATGGACGATTCCAAACTCCTCCAGACTACATTTGAAACAGAATTATGTGAGACCAAGAGCAATAGCTCTATTGCTGAGATTATTCAGAGTAATCACAAGGACAGTAATCATAAGAAGGAGACGCAAGAAATAAAAGAAATTAAGAGAAATCCACAAAACTTCAAGCTCCAAGCACTTGAGAAATATCTCATGAAGACTTATCCTCTGTTGAGGAAGAGGATTAAGAACTACTTCCAGTCTCTTACCAGCGAGTTGTATGATATCGATGACATAGATACTACTTTTTACCTGGAAGACTCAATTCCTTCAAAAATTGACCAGAAAGTTCGCAAAATATTTGAAGGAATAGAATATAATCAGTTTGATGAGTCTATACATCATCCTGTATTCCCAGAAAAAGATGGATCAGCAGAAGAGAGAGATTATTTGGATAGACTCATGAAAGTATGGGACTTCCTCACTGCTTATGCCCCCTTATTGAGATTGGACAAGATCGAGCCTCTTGAATTGTACTATTCGATCCAGAAACAAACAGAGACCACGAGACTGTGTAAGTTAGCATCTTTTTATATTTCAGTGACAAGAGTGATGGCTGCATTAGTGTCAACCTTGATATATTTTCAAACATCAAAGGTAAGCTCCCTTTGTAATCTCTTGATACTAATTCATAAGTCTCATTTCTCATTCCTCACTGAGAGATTAGGTCGACGAAGTTCTATATGACTACAAAAAGTCTTATCGAAAGGACCAGATGAAGGAATGGCATAAAGCCTTATGCCATTTCTTAGACCCTGCATGGGTGCCAGATGATGGTAAGACTCATCTTTAAATTTAGACCTTGACTCAGAGATGGACAACACTCTGGGACTTCCCTCTGAGCTGAAGGAGACTCTCATTAATGTCAATCATATGTCCTTTTGCTCACTGGAAAAAGAACAAAAGTTGCAGATAATAGAAGCTATTATCTGCGGCCCACTTCAATTAGAAGAAGACGAGCAATATTGAAGGTAAGCTCCAGGCGAGTTTGAAGCAGAAATGATACTCTTATAGGGAAGGATATTCTTTACTGGATCTAGACAAATTTATAGATGAGATAGAGGACAACCACTTAGAAGGATGTGAGCTTGAAAATTGCATAGAAACTGCAATCTCTCAGTCATATTATGGAGTGAGTTTGTATAAGTCTAATATAAAGAAACCTAAAAATGACAATGAGCAAACACCTTCAGCTTCCTCTTATTTCAGTATACTTATTCTAATCTTTAGAAAAGCTTATAAGAGGCCCCACCTCAAAGATTTCAATTGGAGAAGTTGCTTATGACAACAGTGAAGTGTTCAGATACTACATCTACCCAAAATTCACCCATGTTCTGTTCGGCTCTCGTGTGACCCAAGGCTGTGCGCTAGAATGGTTTCTGGTCGAGGACATTGAGAGACTGAGAAAAGGGGTGTCCCCCTTTTCTTACCCTGAATTCAGGAACAGACTCAATTTCTACTGCAAGTATTTAGCCAAAACCAGAGCTAAAACCCACACCAGAGATAAACCCATCACCCATGAAAACTACTGGACCAGAAGAGCGAACCAGTTCGAACAAAGGACCTAATCCCACACAAAGCCACTATAATCTCAAGCTAAAAATAATTCCACCTGGGTTGCATAAAAGGGGGGTTTTGGGGTTTTGGGGTTTTGGGGT